ATATACTAGCATAAGTTGCATAATTATATTATTGACCGCTCGTTATAGATGATCTGAAAATTAATACTTTTTATTGTAACCTTCCTAACCGCTTGGGCGATATTAATCATATCATTATACAAGGACGATGAAGTTTTTTTCGGCTGACAATATTATGTATAATCGACTAAACATATCTATTCAATTATTTTTGGTATTATATATACTGTTGGAACTGTTTAACTATCTTGTATGTACAACATAATATCTCATTGTGGTACTTATAGCTTACCATCGTGTACGTACAAGAAAGTATCTTCATACAGCATACTATTGTGTACGTAGTAATAAGTTGTACGTACCAGAATGAGATGATATGCTGTACTTACAAGTATGATAATTTTAAATTAAATTTAAAGGTGACGCGTATGTGCCTCCTAAGTTGTAACATTTTAACCAGATAGCTTAGCAAATGTACCACTGTTGGTAATATGCACGCCCTTACATGAGTTATTCAGCGTGGACAATTGTCTACACTAGTGAATTAGTCAACAATTATAAAACGCGATACTATATAGCTAGTGGTTTTGGGTGTCGCACTGATTTGAACTTATCAGTTTGTTTAGCAACTTAGTGATGCCATGAGTAACTCATTAATTAAACAGCAACGATGTTATGGTGTTATTTGTTCTTTTGTACGACAAAATTTTACATAAAGTACTGTACTGTAGGTTAAATGTCTGAAGACTAGATATTGTGCGTCCCTACATTTATTTTTTGACGGTGGACCTCTCGTATCCCCCTTGCGGGCGCGACGCCAAATTAGGTAATAATGAACAAGCCCCCTGTGGATTCATACATTTGTCATCACCAGGTTGCCCCTATAATAATACCATCTGACTTCTAAAAACCGCTGTTGATAGAGAATTTAAACCGAAACTTTAATTTTCTTTCCAGTACACAAAAAATGTCTTTGGGCCATATTTAAAATAGGTTTTTTTCTTCTTGTTAATTAAACATAAAAACAATCCTCAGTCAGAACACGGGAAATCGCTTCTGAGACGTTGTAGAAAACACAAAAAAAAAATCCCCTCCCGTACCATCCCCCTCCTCGCGCTACTCGCTCGGGGTGCTGTGATCGGCAGCACACCATTTACTATTGAGAAAAATGTATCGCCCCCCCCCCCCCCCCCCCCCCCCCCCAACCCCCCCCCCCCCCCCCCCCCCCCCCCTTTAGGAAATCCTGGATCCGCCCCTGATCGCTACCTGTTTATCACCCCCTGGACCCCCTCCACAAGTGGATTCGCGCGTCTACTTAGTCATACTAGGACATTCCAGAGATTGAAGTTACCAACTCCCCACAAATGTCTCGTTTGGAACACTATGAACCCTCGATACGGCATCAAATAGGATATCGATAGAGTTTCCACCTCAAAGCAGATTTACAAGTTTGTATTTTAGATGGCCAAAGGCTCATGAAATCAACAATATCTAGACTCGTATAATAAACCTCGCAAAGAATAGAACAGCAGGTTCTCTGACCCGAGGTAATACGGCTGCCCTACACCTGCCTAAGATGTCGGTATTGTCCCTTCCCTAGCACTCTCTCAGCGCAGGTTTCATTTGTACTGCCTAACATCCCATTTTAACGTGTTGACCTTTAATAGATACAGAACAAGATGTGTCTGGGTATATCGACTGATGAGTGTATTTCTTGGCATGTACGTGTATACTTTGTATTATAATTTACTTATGTATCTGTCGTTATTATATATTTTTTTTAAAGTATGAAACATTGGTTTTAAATAAGATTGAATTTGTTTAGGAAAATGTCCAGAAACGATACAGTAATATATGAGCACGTGTACTTTGTGAGCCCCGCCAACGTAGACCTTTGTCATAGGTTATGTGTTAAAAGTATCATCAATTATACACAAGTGTGATGAATTTATAACGCCATAAAACTAATGACACGTGCTTGTTTACATCGCCATGAACATGATGCATGCGTGTTTGTGTGAAGAGACGCAATGTTCAACACAATAAACATTCATTGGAAAATAATAATTTTAATAACAAAGTACATGCTGTGTTTAAACCTCGACAAGTCTCGGGTAAGACATTTAAACATCACTTGGGTTGATATTTTGCTTTTGCGCAACACATCCAAATTTCATCCTAGAGAGACAAAACACTGCAGTCGCGTTTTTTCTATGACGTTACAATGACAGCAGTTGAATGACGTCACTTTTTATAATCACTTTACGTCAAACTATAGCTGGATGCGCATGACGAACAAACTATTATTTTTACCAAAAAAAAAATCTTTTATAGAGATGGGAGAAAGAAAATCATCCGCCACTTTTAGGAAGAGAGAAATAATAATTTCTCTCATGGAGTGAAAGAATGTATTATTCTCTCACCTAGAGATGTACAGTGATATTTCTAAAACGAGAAAGGAATGAAGGATTTCACTGTCACTCTAGCAGGTAGACAATGGAAGGCTACACGCGTGTGCGTCACAGTGAACATGAATGACAATCTGATAACGTCACATTACAGTTGGACGGTGGCGTAGAAACCATTATTTTGCGTTCAAATATCCTAATTAGGTAAAAGAATAATTTCTACCTTTTGGGTTTAGCAAACAAAAAATAACCATCGGAGAAATTTCTGGAACGTCTAACCCTCAAGACTCGTATACCTCGGATTTAGAACATGAATCGTATACCTCGGGTTTAGAACATGAATCGTATACCTCGGGTTTCAATTTCTTTATCAAATTCTCAAGTCAGGGAAAAATGTAATTAGTCTCAGGGATTAAAACGTAGATTCCCCACCATAGTTATACATATATATATTCTACGTCATAATATTGTAACATCGACCAATAGAATCTATCAGTACTTAGGGTGAATTAAGAAGTCAGAGGGTTTTTGAAGTTTAGTTGAGCGGTCTTTCGCTAGGTACAGACAGGTTTAACTTTTCCCTAACAAAAACGGGAATGCACCTGTGAGGGATGGGAGAAATTAAAAGTAATAATCTGAAGATATCAAAATGTTTCATCGTGAGAAATATTCAAAATACTCTCGAGTTGAAGTCAAACTGGTGTTAAACTGCGAAAATCGTAGAGTGTCCATACAGTCCAACTTATCAAATGTCCACTGCCAGCGTACACACAGAGAAAACGGTATTTGGCGAAAATGTTACCCCGTAACGTTGGGTACGGAGCACAGTAAGTAGTTAAGACTGTAGAGACAGAATTAACGACCATGTGTTATTCAACACTATGGACAGAACATGTCTATATATATACATTATATCGGCTGGTAATTGAGGTACGCTAGCTCGGTGCCAGGTACGTTTTCTCACTAATAAAATTACTTAGATTACATAAGGACTGCAGTTATTTCTTTTGTCAAGATATTGTGAGTTAAGGTGTTATCACAATTCACTACAATCAAATCACTGCACACCATTCCTTCTGTTTAGGTACATTAAAAACACCCGTTTTCGCGTGATTGAAAACATTCCTATGTGACCCTATTAATTAGCCTGTCATATACGTACATGCGATGTTGATGTTACAGGATAAATGCACTATAACCGTCAAATCCCTTCGTCTCCCCCTACCGTAAGGGTATGACGGGGTGATATTCCTTATTGTCTAACACAAGACTTGCGTCCAGTTGAGGGATAGTCATTCGTGAATCTCATGCTGAATGTTGACATTTCCTTGGCATAATCAACGTAGGGGATGATTATTTTCTCCCTGTATTGATTTTCTAACTTCAAAATCTAATATTCAATCCTGTGTCTGCAACTAACCTCTCTCATCGAAATATTATTGTGACGTCATAATTTAGGTTGCCCTGACGTCATTTGTTTCTTTTCGCGTGTCATTGTTCATACCCTAGGGGCTGACAGAGAAATCACATCACATCTAAGGGGATGCGAAGAAATCTTGAACAGGTAGACAATTCAGTGATAGGAGGGAGAAAAGGATATTTAACACCGGGAAATGTATGTGGTAACAATCAAGTGACGTTAGGTAATCCAATAATATGACGTCACAACTGCTACAGCATAAATTCTTTTAATTTTGCCGGAAAGATTAAAGATAGAAAACTGTTTGAAATAACATGATTAATAATCTTACGATGGTTAAAAACATTTTAGTTGGCATATTTCTATTTTTTTTGTTATGACATCTAACTACATGTAGTGGACTTAGGTCTTATATAAACAAAATGTATGACATATTTTGAAGATGTGAGAAAATTAAGTAATCGTTCTGGAAATTGACACGAAGCGAAAACATCGCCCCTGACATCACATTACGTGTCCTGGTAAGGAAAGGCTCTATCTCACATTCGTACATAGGTAAGCTATCGATTAATGTCAAGTCCTAATTGGTTTTTGCGAACACGTACGAGATGTNGCGTAAACATTATCTCGATTGTTTACGAAGAACAGATGATATACATTGTAAATGCGGGAACGGGAACGTGATACATATCACATATATTATTGCATAGAGTCAATACAGTATAAAGATCGGCTAACAGGTAAAAATGAAGATCCTACACTTACCTCTCGCCTTTCTTTGCCTTTTGTGTCTTTGGTAATACGTTCTAACCATCCCGAGTGTAATGTGTAACACTCCGACATTTTAAGAGAGCTGGCATTAATCGATGTTATGTCCGTGGTGTACAACCATGTCTGTCTACAGGTATGGCAGAAAGTCCGCTACATACGGTATTGTTCCCCATCCAGGAAGTAAAATATATTCGGTAGCGTACCTGTAACAGATACACCTGTGTACACAGGTGACGCACACATGTATTAAGTGGGGGTTGTGCCTATAGATGAACGCCAAATGAACTCGGAGGAATTGTGCAAAGCTTATTATCTAAATACACAAGCCCCAGTGCGTCCATCGTAAATAACTTATGTATGACGAGAGTTGTCCTACTATTTACATAAGTGTTATTTTAAATACGAAGTTCAAGCTTCGTTGATTTCGAAAACCAGACAAGCAACTTCTGTATGTGTTTCTTAAAATAGAACAGAGAAAGCTCAAACTTCGCCGCTATTTAAATAACGCAGGTCATCTCGATCAATAGAGATAAGTTTGAACTTCCTGGTCCAGTAAAAGGGATGGTATACACAAAAATCTTAAAACTGAAAAACCAAAGTATTTAACGTGTCAACACATATAAAACAGTTTTGAAGAGACGTATTGACGTGAAGGAATTTCAAAACACAGCTAAGTGTCATTTCTACATTTATATATGTTGAGTAATTGATACGTTAGCAACAAATTTAAAGAGTAATTCAATCAGATACGCTTAATTATCTATTTTATACATAGTACTTCACGAGGTGTAAATTAATTTAAAAGTGCTAAAACACTTTTTTTCTGGTGAACCAACTATGCATTATTTCCAACGTCGAAATGCGACTGACATTCATAACTGAAAGTGTTAATTCCACACCCGAGAAGGTCTCATTTTTAGCTCACATGGCCCGAAGCTTATGGCATAGTGCGGCGTCCGTCGTCCGTCCTTCCGGCGTCAACTTTTTACTTTAAACAACTTCTTCTCAATAACCAAAGGGCCTAGGGTGATGATATTTGGCCAGAAGCATGCTGGGATAAAGGGCTTCAAGGTCACGGGGGTCAAATGTCGTAAAATCTTCAAACCACTTCTTCTCAATAACCAAACGGCCGAGGATACTGAAATTGGGCCTGTAGCATGCTGGGATGATGGGCAACCAAGTTTGCTCAAATGAATGTTCTTGACCCACTTTCAACCTAATGGCATTGTTCGACATTCAAGGTCACAGGCGTAATATGTTTAAATCTTTTAATGGGTTCTTATGAATCAGAGACGTTATAATATAATCCTCGGTATATACTGACAAATAAATATTAACCTATAATATAAAATTCAATTTCTTTTGTATATTGCAACCAAACATGACCTCATGGTATTAATCGAACTGAAAATAAATACAAACAAACATATTGTAACTATATCTATAATGGCAATTATCTGGGGAAACAGACTATCACATATATAATACTGAGTTTTGTTTAATAACATAACATAACTGTAACACAGAGTTAAGTTACGCGTTCTAAGGAAGTTATATTATATCAATATGCAGTGTAGACCAAACCATTTATTCGCCCACGATGTACAGTGAAGAACCGACCCCTTATTCACTCACGATGCACAGTGAAGAACCGACCTCTTATTCACTCACGATGTACAGTGCAGAACAAACCCCTTATTCGGCCACGATGTACAGTGTAGAACCAACCTCTTATTCAACCAGGATGTACAGTGTAGAACCAACCCATTATTCACTCGCGATGTACAGTGTAGAACCGACCCCTTATTCACTCACAATATACAGTGTAGAATCAACTCCTTATTCAGCCACGATGTACAGTGTAGAACCAACCCCTTATTCAGCCACTATGAACAGTGTAGAACCAATCCCTTATTCAGTCACGATGTACATGTAGACCAACCCCTTATTCAACCAGGATGTACATGTAGACCAACCCCTTATTCAACCAGGATGTACAGTGTAGAACCAATCCCTAATTCAGTCACGATGTACATGTAGACCAACCCCTTATTCAGCTACGATGTACATGTAGACCAACCCCTTATTCAACCAGGATGTACAATGTAAAACCAACCCCTTACTCACTCACAATGTACAGTATAGAACCAACCCCTTATTCACTCACGATGCACAATGTAGAACCGACCCCTTATTCAGCCACGATGTACAGTGTAGAACCGACCCCTTATTCAGCCACGTACAGTGTAGAACCAACCCCTTATTCAGCCACGATGTAGAAGCAACTCCGTTATTAAAGCCACAATGTACAGTTTAACTTATTTAGGCACAATGTTGTATTGTTTTTTAACGCCTTTCCCTCAGCGGTCCTTGAGTATCCCACAGTGTCATTTCATTGCACACTTTCTGCAAGTGATTCACACCACGAAACCTGTTAAATGTCTTAGGTGACCACACGAAACCAGAAGAACATTTTAGTCACTTTTCGAAACATGTACGATGTCTAAGGTCATACAACTAAACATATGAAATGTCTCATATCACAATAAGAAACATTTACAATCTACGAAACATGTATAATGTCTTAATTGTCATGCTTTGAACTTTCTGTAATACTACGGAACTGAATTAGAAAGTCCGTGATAATACCATCAGCTATAAAAAAAATATCCACACGGTACCTACCAGAATACTAAAAACACTTCTTGTGTCTATGATATGTAGATATCGTATGTGGAGTTTAACAAATTGATGACATCAACAGCTAAGTCCTGGTAATATCTTTGTTTTTCGGAGATTTCTCCTGTACCATCCTGATCTATCCTTCGCATGGCCTTCGTGACCTTGAACCTTCCACTACCGATGACAGAAGGAGTCATGGTGATGGTGACAAGCTGATGTAGTGCCCATTATAATGGAGATAGTGGGCGGTTATCCAAGCCACTAGAGCAGGTAGCTGTTGATGTATCTCCAGTTGTGAAAAGAACATAAGTCGGATGCAGTCTTCGTTGGAAGATCCATGCTTTGAACTTTCCTGGCAGGTCCAACTTGTCGATTGCATGTTGCTGATGCTGCTTTATTTCCATGGGCACTTGATTCGGTTGTCCACAATGGCCGGCCTTCTTGCCAATATTGCCGAGAAAATGTTGTCTTCTATACTAAACAAGGTAATCGTTCTGAATTCCCTGATGTCTTTAAAAAGTCCTTCTCCTTTGTAACAAAACATTCCTCGGCCTTCTGCTAACATAATAGCATCTGTCCATTGTTTCACACTTTACTAGTTACTAAAACTGTCTTCACATCTGTTTTTTGACATTTCTTATAAACTTCTTGGATCTCCTCCTCCCTTGGTTCCTTGGTATCCAGGGTAAATTCTGGATGTTCCTTTGCTTCTAACCGTGGTGGTCGGGTGGTGCATTGGATAAAGCACTAGCCTTTCACCAAGGCGGCCGGGGTTCGATTCCCCGATCATACGTCAAAAAGTCTCGGGTCACCTGCCTGACCTAGTGGGTATCTCCGGGTACTCCGGTTTCCTCCCACTTTAAGACCTCGCGCGCTACGCTAAAATAAGTTGTTTCATAACTATTGTTAAATACGTAAAATTTATAATTCATAATATTGGTGGACAGTCCAAATTGTTGTCCTTCTTGTCATCGCCATGGTTTCCTTCAGATGCTTCTCAAAATCAATTTATTTTTGTCTCATAAAAAAACTGTAATAACCCGACAGTAAAATCAGGTAAGAATTTGTTGATATATTGTTTGAACACAGAAAAGAGGGCAATAGAAATGAGTATGAATTGTACATGTATTATTTGACGTAACACGTTAAGTATAGCTGTCTAAACGAGGGATTATATAGGAATGTATTCAAGATGTCTGCCTTTAACAACGCCTGTTTTAAAAATTCTGATAGCACATCATTAAGAGGTTTAACTGTAATATTATGTCACACCCTGTTGGGGTTCATGTGTAAAGGTCTACAACGCCAGAACATATATATTTACCACATGACTATATATGGTATGTAGTAAATACACCACCCGTGTCCTATTGTTTGCGTATTAGCTATGGTAATAATATAACATTTTTGACGTCATAATCAAAATATACAAATATATCTCAATATGTATGTGTTATAAATACTATATACTTGTATTTATCAATGTTACGGTATTCATTGTGTGATAGTGAGGGTCACGTGTGGCTTGTTTGTACGGCACAGAGTGTATCGTGTGACGTGGCGCGAGGCGCACGTGCTTTACCTGAGATACAAGATTTAAGATTCCAAGATTTTTTTATTACGCTCTGACACACAAAGTGTGTAACAAGAGGTCAAACAAAATAACATCAATCAAAATAAAACATGACAGAGAGAGTAGACTACACATGGACAGATTCAGCATTATTTCATAGATAGATTCAGCAATATTTCATAGATAGATTCAGCAATATTTCATAGATAGATTCAGCAATATTTCACATTGTTTGATGTACAATGTATCAGATGTATTGTTACAAAGTAACAGTAAGGTTATACATGAACAGATTCAACATTATTTTCTTACATGTGAAACAGTAAGTTTACACATAATTATTTCATACATGTGAAACAGTAAGTTTACACATCATCATTTCATACATGTGAAACAGTAGTATTATACAAGGACAGATTTAGCATTATTTCACACATATAGATTACACATGAACAGATTCAGCATTAGTTTATGCATGTGACACAGAAGAATATACATGAATAGATGTATCAGCATTAGTCATATATGTATTGGATACTCAATTTTCACAGCAAATTATCTTCACTGCCATAATCATAATGCAAAGTAGAGCTCTATAGTATTTATGACATACTGATTTATTTCAATTGTTATTTTTTTTATAATTATTTGCAGTTTTACAAGAAATGTACTAACCCTTTTGATTAATCGTTTGTTACATATTGTGAACATTCCTTTCGTTTTATCAACATGTGGATTGGTGTAATAATATTTTGGAATAATTTTTTCCATAATCTGGCGTATGGATTCTTGTTGACATTTAAACAAATAATGAAATTCATCTCCTGTTTCATTTCTATTACAAAAAGTACATTCTCTTTCCTCTCGAGGAATTCCCATCCAACGGCCAGTTTCCAGGGGCAGCGGAAATTTTGACGAGCGAAATTTGCAAAACACAACACGATCACTCTTGTTTAATTGAGTTAAGTAATTTTCAAAACCAAAATTAGATTTAAATAATAGATAATTTTGTCCTCTACTACTTTTATCGATATCGGCATACCACTTTTGAATAAACTGGTCATTAAGCTTTTGTGTTATAATATGTTTAAGTTTTTGTCGTTCTAGAGTAGTCACTTTTTGAGATGTCCAGATATATGTCAACCCTAGATCATTTAGTGTAGTTTTGATAAAATTTAGCCACTTCGAG